TTTTTTTTGTGCATCCTTTGGATGATTGGTATTCAGGTTGGCACTGAGCCGATAGCATCTGTGGGCTACAGTTCACCATCAGACACCAGCCGGCTGAGCAACGAGCAAACCAGGACCGTTACACTAGCAGGACTTGGATCGCTCGTTTCGTTTTGCTTCATGTAACCGATATCCACAGTGTTCTATGATGTCAGACTGAATGCAGTGATGTAAGATCACACTCCCCGCCTCTTTTCTGTAAATATTATTGCGACTGTCGAAAGGCCGGAGAGATTTACTAGTCCGCCTCAGAAGCCTGCGGTTTGCTCACCAGCCTGACTGATGCAGCCGTTTGACCGAAGGAAACAGAAACCTTTGTTTATCCGTCTTTAAACTCACGTTCCTGTCAGCTGCTTGTTTTTTTAAAATTCATTCTACTTGTCAGAGACCAAAAAGTAAAGATGATCGAAGGGGGAAATTGGGTCCTGAATCTAAGAGACGAGAAGGCGTTGAGCAAAAGTGAAAACAGGTCGGCGTCCTGCTTGATTGGCTCTTTCTGCAGGCTGTTTGGAAGTTGAGAGAGCATGAAACCATGGTGCCACGCACTCCAGTTTTTCATGACAACAGAGTATCTAGGTGGACAAATTAATTTCTGCTGCTGACGATTTTGATTTAAAAAAAGCTGAACATTTTATTGGGGTTATGTGAAAATGTTGCTAAGGTTAGCTCAATGTTTCCCTGTTGATTAAAGAATGGTTTAAAGGGTTACCACACTAAATAATTTCCTTCAGAGGTAAGAAACCATGTTCAAATTTAGCCCGTCCTGGGGCACTTTGAAGGTTGGCATTTCTTCTTTGAGTCAGTTATTGTTGTTTTTGTCAAAGGAGCGACCCAGTTTATTGAGCCTTGTTCCCTGTGTAATGAAATATTCTTTTACATCCAGCTAAATTAATTGCAAAAGACATGAAGCTGATTTTGCTTTCATTGCACTGGTGTTTACATTTCCATGTTGACGGCTGAAGTTGAAATAACAAGGGAAAAACTGGAATAATTCATTCCCTCTCTTGATGTGAACTGACAGCCAAGTTATGAACGAACATAAACAGAGGATCTCTCAGATGTTCCATCAGATAAGTTGTCCACGTCACTGTGTAATGGCGGGATAAGGAAGTAACAGTTGTTCTCCTTTATCAGTGCTGTGAAGAAGAAGAATCAGCTTTTTTAATGTCAGTTTTAACAAGAAAATAGTGTTGACTTCAGTCTTAAAAGTACATTTTAAACAGTTTAGCACAATGAAACTAATCCACCTATCTTTTCTAATGCAAAGTTTTTTTTAAAAAGGCCCATGTGTACTTGATTTATGGATTGGAACAGTACATAAGATAAATGTGGTGCAGCTCCACACCAAGAGAGTCGTATTTCTGGGGAAGAGACAAAAAGCCCCATTTTTCTTTTCTTCTTCCCGTTGCCTCAGAGGTCCCACAGCAGCGAGTGCAACATGAGGAATTAAGATAAGTCTGACTGATGAGGGCTGTGGAGGGGCGTGTTTGACTCTGATACAGCCGAGTGAGGTGTCACAAGAAAAGAAACGTCCACAGCGGGCAGCCACAACTCTCCTCGCCTTCATCTTATCTGATCTCATTCTTCATTCAGTTCCTTTATTCATAACTTTGGGTGACGTGGGGTGGGGTGGTCCCTTCGTCTGGACTCAGACGGGGGGGGCTGAGGCTGGGCGGATTCTTTTACGGGCTGATGTGTTAACTGCTGCTGAGCTGGGTGGGTTCCTCACGTGCGCGACACATGTTGGGAAACTGGTCGCTCAGGCTTGCAGTCGGCCCTCGAAAACAGAGATAACATCTCACACTTTCAGAGATACGGCCCTGTGTTTGTATGTGTGTGTTTTCTTGTTCTGTCTGCAGCTTCTATTGTGCGTTTTATGTATTTATGCCCGCACAACTTGTGTGTTTATTTGTCAGGTGTGCAGCATAAGTGTGAAGAGTTCAGCCCCATCAGAGTGTGTTGAAAGACCCTCACAGACAGGCTCCATCCTCCGCTGAGTGGAAAAACAGCATTATCTAAAAATATCCCCCCTCATGTCGGCTCACATTGCTTGCAGATGTAGGTTCACTGACCGAAGCCACAATCCAAAACATCTCGGTACACATGTGTTTTAAAGCGTCAGTATTTTGATTTCGGTCCAGTCTTTAGGAGTTAGAGTTTTCTCAAAGATCATTTCAGTATTTCAAACTGCACATTTCTCAAAAATATCATTTTCTTACACTGTTTCTACCTCACCTGTGTGGCCTTTAAAACTGAAGCATTTCCAAATGGAACCGAAATATCAGATGAGCTGATAAAACTTATTACATTCACTTTGAATGTTTCATGTTGATATCTTCTAATATGTTTATGTAATAGGTGGAAATTGAATGAAAGTGGTTGCTTAACTCACATGCACAAGAAGCTGTTTGTGTGAAAATCTAATAAGTCTAAATATGATGAACAGAAGCCGAAAGAGTGGTTTATTTGTCGTTTTTCTTGTGTTCGTGTTCTTCATTTCTCACATCATTTTCTACAAAGAAATATGAATTAATTTGCTTCTCTGCTCAAAAATGGTGAAAACCTGTTTTTATTTTATTTTTACTCTGCAGAACATTTGATTTTGTTCATTTGAGTAAAATAACTCAGTCTTATTCAATTTAACACCTCCACAGCTTTCTCGCTTTTCGTAAACAAAAGCTAGTTTTTGCTCTTCAGGTCTTCAGATATTTTTCAGAACTTAAAGTTTAATTGAATTCCTCCAATGTGTTTATCTGTCATGGGCATTTGCCTCAAACTGAAATATATTCTTACTGAATTATTAAGAACATTTCATCATAAATTAGAACACCAGCAGAGGCATTTTTAACAGCGTTTGTACATTTCTTTGTAAAACGTGTTCACACACGTCTGTTTCCTTTTATTGCCTTATAGCCACTTCAGAAAGATTATCATCCTGATTAGTCTTGACAGAATGAAAAAAACATTTTGATTTGCGTCTCTTTTTGCTGATCAAGTTAAAGTTCTACAGTCTGTCTCCAAAACCCATCTTGGTCTGGTTTGTAGCATTTTGGGTTGTGAATAGGGATGTGGGAACCCCGGAGTAGAAACAACTCAGCTGAGGTTTTATCACTGATAATTAATCAGACACATGATGGGACATTATTTGTGTTGGACTCTGAGAAGTTTTAAGTGGTGATAGGACTATTGGGTAACTCCCTCCTGGTCCGGCAGACTGTTACATATGGTCCTTCTCTCTGCTGTGGTTTGGCAGACATTCCACCACTTCATACTTTTTGGTTTCAGCATTTGATTTTAATTTGCTTGAGGGTTTTTTTCACAAATGCTCTTTTTTTTTAAATGAGGGAGAATTAAACTCAATTTCCCAAGTCTTAGACAAAGTCTGCATAGCTTTTTGCAATATTTTAGGATTTTAAGGTGATGGAAGTCACCTTTGGGAATTACTTCCCTACCCTATTGGTCCCAGAGGTATTTCTTAAAACTCTTATCATGGCTCTGAGTTTTACACATCAACTTTGTATGTGATGTTTTTTTGGTGGATCTCACACCAAATTGGCCTTCATCTTTGTTTTTGGAGCTCTTTAAATCTGTGAAATTCTCCGTTATTCTCTGAATATACTTTATATTAATCCAGTTTAATTCCCATTTTCATTTATTTCCATTAGTATTTAGTACAAGTCTGCCATGGGACCAAATAGCAGCTCACAAACATTGTCAGAGCATTTTCAGATGGTGACTGTGCTCTGACAAACTGCTGATTTCATAATTTTTTGCATCATCTAACAAAAACCACTATCTCCAGAAGAGGATGGAAATGTCATGTTCAACCAGAGGGAATGACAGAGGCTGTTCTGTTTCTGAGTGTTCAGACACTCCTCTCTGCACATGGGCAACAAGCCCAGCGTGAAAGAGACCTCACTCTGTCAAGAGTGGTGGAAGGAGGAAGGAGGAAGGAGTGGTGGTGTAGTGGTTAGCATAGCTGCCTTCCAAGCAGTTGACCTGGGTTCAATTCCCACCCAATACAGCTCCCCCCTACCCTGTAAGTCGCTTTGGATAAAAGCGTCTGCCAAATGCATGAACATGAACACATGAACATGAGTTGAGTCTCCAAGTTTCAGTGTCCTTTTTTTAAGGTGCAGCATCATCAGCTGCAGGGTTCGTTTTTACTTAGGATGTGCGACGGGGTGAAAGCATAATAAACCAACCATGCTCTGGTTTGGCTGTGAGTTTCTAATCTCTGTGACAGTGATCCGAACCTTCCAGTCACAGTTGGGGACCCCTCCTGAACTCCTACAGCTAAAACAACCTCCACTGGTCCCACTGGTCCACATGTCCCACCAGTCTGGGTTTCCCTGTTTTATGGCTTTGTTTAGCAATATTTCAATATCTAGTCCATAAGGTGTTAAATACTTGAACCAGAGATAATTTATTTTAAACAAGAACCTAAATTAATCAACTATACTGACATTAGTTAATCCACATCCTCTTCATTTTAACTATAAAGTCCCGCTAGGTATTCTGTGAGTTTCGAGCCTTGAGCTCGGTGAACAGATCACAGATTATTTTCCTGGTCGGCCTTGTGGCTCCTGATCTCTTAGCTGTTTCCAGCAGTTTTAAATCAGCCGGCCTCTTGACTAGCTATGGACTCCAACAGCCGCTAAGTTTAACCAAAGGCCTCCTAATTTGCATCATCTTGCTTGTTCCAGCTTCTTGTATCTACAATTCCTCACGGTAGATGCAGATTAATGTGCTGTGCAGGTAGTTTGGAAAAAAACAGTAAACATCTTACGTTTAAACTAAGTGCTCCAGGTGCCCGAGATATTCTGAGCAGAAATCATCATCCGGAGCATTTAAGGCTGATTTGGCTCATTATGCATCTTGTAATACATCACAGAAAAACTCTGAACACTTGATTGAATTCAGATCAGTGACAAAGACCAACAGGGCAAACAATGCAATTCCATCTTTTTTTAATTATTTTATTACTGATGTTCATTTCACTTGCACACTTTTTTTTTTTTTTTTTTACATTTTATTATGTATTTTTTAATCTTGTATCAACTCTAAGAAATTCACATTTACACAATGCATTTTACATTAGTAGATAACTACATGTGACATTCAGCTTTTTGGGGAACTGGGTTCTGATTCATCTGTATCAAGTAATAAAATCACAGAGAGTCACAGTGAGCCTCCCCATAGATGTCAGTATACTGCAGATGTCATGATGAACTTACTGTCCATGCAAAAGATCTGTCCAGTAGAGCTGATCTCCACCGACAAATGGCCTATGCAAATTTCAGAGTAGCAGTACCCCATGACATGTATACGTTTTCATAATGCTACATGGACCTATATTCATATCATGTTAACATATCATATGTGTTCACTGGCAGCCTGAAAGTAATCCAAGTCTTTAAATGGGTGCCTAGTTTATACAGTTTGTGTAAGTCTCCAGAGTTTGTCCATTATTCTGTTCCCTAAAAGCCTTCATTAGATTTCAATTATCCAAAACAAATGCACATAAAAGCATAAAATCAGTGGAAAAATGCAAACAAGATATCTACTTAAACTTCTCAACAGAAAATTTCTCAAGACATTGTACAGGCACTTGAGCTGTGGGGCACTCTTTGAGTGCATTCATATTACATCTAATAAGTGCTACAAAATAACATCAGATAGAAAAAATACTGATTCCAAAGTGGTGTACTATTCATACTATGCGCAAACGAGAAATGTAAAAACAAACACAAAGGGGAAACAAATGAAGAGAGAGTGAATGTGTCCGGCATTTGTTATATTCATGCTGCACATTCTTACTAAAAGTGTCTGAGAAGGAAGTCGTGAGCTCAGGGAGGATGAGTGCACGGCTGGAGGCGGAGCGGGCCTCAGGGGGAGATGGATTCGAGCCTTTTTTTTTAATCAACTTTGGTCACTTTGGTCCGACTGCAGCGGTTTGCTTTAATGTCACCGCCACAGCGAGGGCCAGAATGAATCACACCGACTCGCTCAGCAGAGGCGTGAATCACACACTTGCTTGGTCACATGTCGACACCACATCAGCCACAGAGCTGAAAAAGTTTCCAATAATTACGCTGCAGCGGTTCATGAATCACAAGTTGAATGAGGAAGTTTAATTGTCTTGAGGTGATGTGATCAATCAATGCAGCGCCAAACAGGATGTGATGACTCATTTTCACTGTTTTCTTCTCTCTGGGAGACATTTTCTTTCTACAACTCAGCCTTACAAACACCGATAGCAAGAAATAACTTCCAACTTTTCTCGAAATGGATAGACAATTTGGTTCCACCTGTCAGAAATATTATGACTTCACATGCTTCTTGTTGTGAGAATGCTTTTGTTTTCATGAAGCTTTGGGTATGGGACTCGATGGATTTCATAGTTTTGGGTGATTGCTTTGCTAGTTTTAAAGCAAACAGAGCAGTTTTGGTTTGTTTTGGTGCAGATGGCACTGGCACAATCCACACTGGAGGTCTCCAACAAGGGGACCCCGGCTAAAGACCACAGAATCAATCACAGAACACAGGATCACCATCTACAGTGATCGTACAAAACATTGCGCAAGAGCAGTTTTAAACCAGACATCTCTTGCATGAAGGGGTTCATAGTCTTCCAAAATGAATGAATCAGCACACCCCATCCGTCCCACTGGTGATTTGTGGCCAACTTAACATTGGGAGGTGAGGAAAGTTGAGTAAATCAAATGGAAGCGCAACTGAACTCAAGCTGACTTTATGTTTGGTCCAAAAGCAAAGAACATTTTCAGCATCTGAACTGGGAGGGTTAGGTTTACGGCTACAGTGCAAATGTGGGCTTCAGGATGCTGTTTAAATGCTAAACGATTAGTTTGTATTTGAAAAAAGTCATTAAACGAATCGGTGTTGTAACCCTCGATAGCAGCCCGTCTTTCAGACTTGTCTTTACTTTTGTCCAGAAAGTCCCCATAATCTCATATACAACAAAATGAATCCTGAGAAGGTACCTGTCCTCTACAGTATATTTCTTTACATGGCGGATAAACTGACTGCTTCTACAGTTACTGAGGCAGCAGAAAGGGCGGCGACATGACAGCGGTCTTCTATGGAAAAAAGGCCGGCGAGATATGGAAGTGAGCCCGGACTAAGTGCTTTATATCACCATGGCGATGTAACAAATGCCAGTGGCCTCAGTCTTGGAAAAAAGGGATCTGTAATGTCACACTGAGGGGCTTCGGCGAGGGCCGCCAGCCCGTCACTGTCCACTACATTAATCCCCATGAGAGGGGGAGCGGAGGGTAAATGAAGCTGAAACCCTGAGGTAATTACTACCTGCCTGTCAAGACGTCTCCTTAATGGGCTCTGTGTTGACATGAGCCCCCTGCGACAAAGCGTTACAGCCCGAACACCGTTCATCACACTCCGGAACACAGATGGAGCTGGATGCTAGGCGGTAGGAGTGGGCCCTGTGGAGGTGGAGGTGCGTGCATCCTCTGAGGGGCGTCCTAATTTTCTCCTCCGAATGTGTAAATGATTATAGATGGGATTCCTTGCTCGGGATGTTATTTCGGTCCCGGATTCATTAAAGAGATGACGTCACTGCGGCGTTTCCAGCTCTGGATACGGCTTCCCCCCTTCCCTTCGGGGCTGCGGTGAGTCAGCATCGCTCCGGAGTCCAGAGATGCTCCTCTTCTGCTGGCTGCAAAGGCAGGATCCACAGAGGTGCACGGAGGCAGCCTGAAAAAGCCTCAAAAATGACAGCGCTGCACCACAAACATGAGCCCAGCCTTTGGGCGTGAGGTTTTAAGCATCTGACCGAGCAAAAACAGCCGATTACTCAGCAGAAGAGAAAGTAAGGAACCTCTCTTCCCAAATACGAGTCCCTCCCAGGCAGTTTCAGATAGTGACACATTCGTTTTCTGAGACAGGACGAAAAGAAACGCATCTGTGGTTAACTGACACATGAAGAAACACACGAAGAAAGGAGTTTAGTGACTCACGACTCCCCTGTTGCTTTTGAATCACTGACAGCGGGGGGAACAATAGAGCGAGTCCTTCTGAGGATTATCTGAGAGTGGGATTTCACAGAGGAAGATACGCGAGGAAAAAGCTGCCCCATTCTGATGATGAAAATAAAATAAAAAATAGAGAATCTAATAGAGTAACTCTCTGCCTATTTAGCTCTCAGGCACTAATGTTTCATGGCAGTTGACCTCAGTCAAACGTAAAACGGGAGGAAGATGTTAAACTGGCAGCTACTGAGAATGATGTCATATGAAAGAATCTGTTAATATGAGATGGCATACAGCTTAGTAACACTCATTCAGACAGTAGTTGATATTGCCGTAGAGTTTTTTTTTTTTTTTTTTTTGTCCCAGCCGGTTGACTGGCAGAGCCGGACTCAAAATACCAGGATGAAGAGTCAGAATGTGGCCCAAAGGTCCTGGAAGGTCCATGTAAGTGTAGTTGTTGCTCTGTGGCCACTTCAGTTATCAATCGAAGTTCGTTTTTACATTCTCTGTGTGGCACCCCCCCCGGCCTTTACTTTGGTCCACGGTTCAACTCTCCAGTTGTCTCCCCCCGGGCCTTAGCTCTGCCACCTCCTCTTCCTCAGTATTCGGGGGGAGGGGAGTCGTGCTCGGGGCTGCCGTCCACGCTCACCACTGCGGAGACAAAGTCGGGAGAAAAATGACGATTAACATTCCCGTGTGTGCCACCGAGAAGCTTCTCCCAAAAGCTCCAGAAGGGTTGAGGAACGCCTTCCTCCCTGTAGGGGGCCCCGTGGTGTCTCTGCCCCATCTGAACCTGCTAGATTACGGTCATTAGCTTGATGGGGATGAGAGACGGACACTCTCTTTTCCCACAAACCTCTTAACCTGTTGTCAATTGAGTGAAGCCATGGAAACACGTCAGGAATGCAGAGGCGTTTCTGAGAGGACCCCTAGCAATACATCCTCGTGCCAGGGAAGTGTAACACAGAGTTCATCCTAAAGCTTTACAAGGAGAGGTTTGTCTCTTGTCCTCAGGAAACCTTTTTGCAAACATAATTTCTAAGACTTTTCTGCTTCCTTTCCATATCCACACTGATTCTGTCCAGTGACAGCACTTTTCTCTCTTCCTTCCTGTTGACAGATAAGTGAAGCATACCAGGTCCACGCTGACTCTGGCCAGCGCTCAGCATCTATCACACACACACAGGTACAGACACACAGTCAGAGGCTCGTATCCGTACTCGGACTTCATTCCAAAAGTTGTCCTGATTGCCTAGCTTTGATGACACCAGCCACATGAGCCCCGGCTCATTCTGGGAATCTGCGCAGGCTGTCTTTCTTCCACTGTGCCGGTTCAATCAGGGCTACAGTGAAATCTGAGCTCCTCATCAGACCAAGGCTTTGTTAAAGTTTGCACAGGTTCATGGTCCTGATTGGACCGCCCCATGTTGAGGAACAGTCATTTGCTGCCTGAGTTTCAGTTTCTATATGCCTCCACGGTATATTTCACAGTTGATGGTAAACAATGGACTTCTAAAATGGACTTTCTAAGTGGCTGAAAATATATCTGCGGAAAAGTTCTCTGTAGGGCCCGACGTTATCACTGTAACAGTTATCAAGACTGTGCAGGTCTTGTTTTGTTTTGGCTCTGTGGCATCAAAGTTACTGTCCTTGTTGTGGTGTTGAACCAACTATTAATTTCTTAATGAGTCCAATCAATATGTAATACAGTTATTAACTGAATAACAAACAAATTACTTACTTAAAAAATGCCTCTGAATTATTTTTTGACAGTCATGTTAGTCATGTTTATCCCAATATTTGCTAAGTATTCACTTTATCAACAAGAGCCTTTGCTAAACTACTTTTAAAAGTATTGATTCGTATCACTAACATTTTATTTATTAGATTTAAGGTACATCATGCACATATACGCGTTGGATTAAACTGTTACCCCTTGCTGACGGCTGATCATCATACTTTTCAAAATCCACATTTTTCTGCAAATCTTTTCTAATCCTCCACATCTTTTTTTGACCAGCAGCTGCATGGACTCCATATGTGGAGGTCAAACACAGGACGGGGATGCACGGTTTCTGCGAATGCGTGTGAGGGTTTAAAGTCTTGTTTAAAATTTAAACACACTCTATCTATATGCATGATTGAGAGGACGAAGCAGGAAGCAAAGGCGGTTGTGGGGGGGGGGGGGCGGTGGGGACTGATAGATGGCTCTTTGATGAGCTGACAGAAATGAGGCCGAGCTGCCTTTGTGTTTGAGTTCTCACTCCTCACCGGTGACTCATTCAGAGCGAGACCCCTCTAAAAGATGTCATTCACAGCAAGGGGACATTTTCATTGCTGTACTTCTATTTCTTTAAAGATTATTTGATTTGTTTTGACTGGAGGTGTTCCCATTACTTAAGTCGCCAGTAAAATATGGTTCACTGGATACAGGAAACCCCCTGCGATTATAATGGATTTATAGTGCACAATCCCGGCGTCCTTGCATGTTTAATAGAGCCAGTCGGTTGTAGCCGGCCCTGCTCGACATCCTCCGAAAGAACATTTGCTGCCATTTCTAATAGCTTCCACGTTGACAGAAAGTGCTAATGCCAATTAGCACATGCTAAACGCCGATGCTACATCAGATGTGGAAAAAGGCCTGGATCCCGTCTCCAAACACCTGCTAATGAGCCCACAAGTTAAAGAGGCAGCAGGGTTAACTGGGCAGTCCTTCTCTCAGAGTCCCAGTGCCAAGCTGCTCGTCTGAAAGAAATTCCTTCTTCTCTTCATTATGCAGTTGGCTTTGCATTAGTGGATGAGAAGAATAGAAAGAAGTACTCGGACAACACAAAAAAACAAAAACACGCTTTTTTCCCATGCCTCATTAGAATGTGATGGGTATCGTAGAAAAGGCACAGTGGTATGGATTGTTTGTGCAAAGGAGAGTTAGCTTTTTGGCGTATTAGCGCATTTTGCGCCTGTTTTTCTCAGACTACATAAGATAAGCTTGAAAGTTGGAACAGTTTGGCTTCAGACAATCAGGTTTATCAATGAAGGAAATGTTGGTTTTACCCCAATAATGTAAGCTCTGGGGAGGAAGGTGGCAAGCTCTGTGTTATTCTGCCCTTCCCTTTAGTCTGCTTTTTAAAGGCTATCCTCATTTTGTATCCATTAAAATCCTGTGAAATTCCCTGAGAGGAACGTTTTCTGTTATCATTCTGATCTTTTTTTGGCTCAATCTCGAAAATATAACTTTTATCTTAAATTATTTTAGGTTAATGGAAAATATACAAGGGCTTTGTAGTGGAGGCACAGAGAGACAAACAATAATGTCAACAAAGATTTGAACAGAGCCCAGAGCAAGCAGATATGTGAATGTGGGTCATAAATGGGGCTATAATTTGCAGTAGGATATGTGACAAATAGTTAAGAAAAAATAGTTCATTTGAAAAAAAAAAAAAGGAAAGATCCAAAATGACCAAAAAGTGAGGCAAAGGGATGCAAACCAGCTGCACGATGCACCAATGGAAACACAAAACAACCATATATGGTGTTATCCTGGTCAGGGTTGGATGACAACACTGACCTTCACACGTTCCTTGCTTCGTCATCGTTTTAAGAAACAACAACAGACATCCAAAACACAAAAGCACTTTGTAAAGTCTTCTTCTGTTACCTCTCCCAATGTCCTGCCCCACTCATAATACATCAGATTTAGTTTACAGAGCTCATCTTACAAAAATATTTAACATTTTCTGTGATTCTCCAATAATTAATTTGGTCAGAGCAAACATATTTCCAATAAGAACAGCTCATCACCATCAAAGCCTGGACATCCCTGATTTCAAACACAATATATCTTCGATATCTTTGGCAGCTATATGTAGGTGATCTACTGTTTTTGATCGCAATCCACAGAAACCGAGCCCTGCCCAGAGGAGAAGGCTTGCACAACACTGAGAAAACCACATCACACCTCAGCAAAACGCCTCGATGTAATAGATGATGACTTTCTTTTGGCAGCCTGAATATCGCAATTCATCCAAGGAATGCATTCACTTCACGGTGAGTTCCAGTGACCAGAGCTCATGTATCACAGAGGAAAGACGCACCTTAACCCCGTTATTTTTGGGAGCACTGCCAGTTGATATCCAGTGTGAAGCACAGAGAAACATCTCTGCCCTTTCAAAATCAAAGTCTCCCAACAAGCACAGACTGAAAAGCTAAATTCTCGGTGTGCACTTGTTTTGTGGAGAGCGAGCTATCGAAAACAACATCTCCCCTAGCCATGGCGAGCCTACCTATTTGCTCCTGCGTGTGGGAGAGTGAGGGCTGGGGCTGGACTTCGGCCTGAGCCTGCTGCTGCTGCTGCTCCTGCAGGCTCTGGGTGTCCACCGAGATGCCGCTGTCGCTGTGCAGCTTCTCCCCCTCCGGCGTCACCATCTGGTTGTTTGTGGCTGCACGGTTATTAGCTGCCTGTTTGTTCTGCTTGCAGCTATTCCACCTGTAGACAAGTAGCCATGTCAGAAAAAAAAACGGGACACAACACGCCAACATCATGGCAAAAAATAGGGCATCCTCACAGAGATAAATCTGGTAGATTTAGTGAGAAATTATATCAGTGAGGCAGAGTCCAACTAATTCAATCTTGTGTTTTAATTGTGCAGTTTAAAATGGCCAATAAAGTCCTGTTTATATCAGAGCCAAAGCATAAATGTGTAATAAGGAAAATAATACATTTTAAAAGGATTTTGCAAGTGCCATAGTTTTTGCAGTTTCCATCACATTTGGAATTCTGACTGTGGACCATGCAACAGCTTCCATTCGGCTACATTCTTTCATTGAAAAGAAAATAAGATGCATATGCAGCATAAAGAGGTGTATTTGAATTAATTACTAACTCATAAATCAGTTTATCTCATGTATTATCTCTAAATTAGTCAGTAACAGTGTTTTATAAAAATAAGTGTACCGCCTTTTATGGAAAAACAAACTAGTGTTGCCTGCTAATTATTTGTAAAAAACAGACACTTAAAGCACCAGAAATGTTGTGCACCAATGTTCTCCAGAAAAATCCCATTTAGCCTCTGTTTGCCTGTTTAAGTGCAGAAAAATTAGACTGAGTTATTGTTTACCTTTGATACCCACAGTGAGTGAGTGCTGGTGGTCCCAGATCCAATCAGATATTTACTGAATACATTTGCCACATGATTGTTTAGGTTATTTCTTATCTTTTAGGCATTTCCTCGTGCCCCTTATCTTTGAAAGCATGCATCAATGGTAATTATCGAAACAGGTTTAAAATGGAGCAAAACATCATTAAGTCCCTGCATCATTATCCTAATTATATTATTAGACTTTTTTTTTTCAAATTGTATCCTCAGCATGTTAAAATAATGTGTTGAATTATTTATTCCTACTCCTCAACCAGAAATTAGATAAATTCCTGCAGACTATCCACAAAATCTAAAAAATACACAAGGGAAAAAGCTAAACAATTCTGTACTGTTGTTTCTGTTGTTAAATGACTTGAGAATCAGCACAATTATCACGATGTACTGAGTTGTTAACACATTTACCTGTAAACCATCGGCAGTTGTGGACCGCCCCCATAACTCCCTGTGTGTTTTTCATATGACTTGAAGCGTGTGCAGTGTATTGGCCAGATGTGGGCATGACTGTGCTGACAAATCTGGCTCTCAAATTTCCCCTTGTCGGCACTTTTCAAACAATCAATATCCCTAATGAGCTTGTTTACTTGCTTCAGATGTGTTTCAGCCTGAGTTTATGTCTGTCTGCTGGAGTGCTAGCATGTGCAGCTGCATGTCTTCACTAATGTGTTTATTAGCTCTCTAATGCCTAAAGTGTTTTGTTTTTTCTTTTAATAAATCTCATTACAGAGGGTTTTATCAGTAGGTCAGAGCCACCTCAACCTCGGCTGAACTGAATCATTTTAACCACCACGCTTCCACGTTTTTAGGCCGAATGTTTCCATTGGAAGCACCTATATCGCCATCGATGCTCACCAAGACAATCCACCAAGATTGAGGTGTTGCTTAGATGCAAAACCCAATTGTGCCAATCTCTTCAAGCACAGATCAGCCTATCAGTGTTTTTTTTTTTAAACATTTCAACAGACCTTTTGAAGGCAAAGTAGGCCACCAGGCCCACGGCCACAGCAGCCAGGATGGAGCAGTAGATGGGGATGAGGTTTTCGTTGAGGCCGTGGCCCAGAAAGCGAGGAGAACCCGCGCTGGAGGTGGTCGTCTCCCCAACCGGGATGGGACTCTCAGAGCCATAGGGGAAGAAGTAGTCCGGAGGGGACGATGCAAATGGATCAAAGGTGGGAGTCAAGTATTTAGGCAGGTTTGGATCTGCGGGGCAGAAAGAGGAGAAACAGACGGATTAGTAAGCTACACACAAACAAAAAAACAATCTTGTAAAGAGAAAGGGTTTGAGCTGAATGCCAACAGGTCCACAGTCACATTTTGTACCAGAGGCTGCCAGACATCTGAAGTGTGTTTTAGGGCAATCCGTGCAGTAGAAACAGTGCAATTAACGCATATCACACATTTTTACCTCATGCTTGAACAAAAGAAAAGTCAAAGAATGACAAAAAGCCTTGGGATGCATCCTCTGAGCGCCACTGATAATTGCAGAAAAACTAACTTAGTAGAACTGAAAATATGCAATTTGACAAAGAGAAAACTTGAACCTCCAGTTGCCTCCAGAATATCTGTAGTCATTCTACCCAAAACTAAATTCAATTTAACGGCATGGCTGTTGCCGAAAAGACATTCTGCCTGGATGGAACTTTATTTGCAAGCGAGCTGGTTTGCTGGTGTGTGATTACCCAGGCACCAACCAGATGTCAGACGCGCTGCACACATGTGGCAGCTGTTTCTAATCGACAGATGGGTTCTGGCCGAGCTGCTCCGAGCTGGAAGGAGGAATGTTTCTCCGCTGAGGGGGGGGACGGACATATGCACCCTGTTCACCCCTTTACCAACCTGAACATTTCTTTTCACCATATCCTAAACCGCATGATGTCTTCACTGAATGACATTAGGACCATTTGGATGTCTGAGAAGGTTGTTTTGATGAAAGTAGCCTTTGCTGGAGCCAGGCAGTTAGGCAGGAAGCACAGCGCTACTGAAGGGGTCTGGTTTCTATCACGGCGAAGCCTGTGAAGAAGTCATTTTCATAGATTGTCCCATTTCCTCTTTCACTGGGTGCTCCATTAATGAGTCAGGGTAATTTCCCATCATGCAACAGCACCGCACCCTCTCTGATGGACATGGCTCCTCGAACACAAGCTATCCATCAGTCATCTCAGACAATCTCATAAAGCTTTTGTTTTGAAAAGCTGATAGTAGCACTGAACCGAAGCCGTCAGATGGTTGAAAAGTTCACAGAGGAGCCTGAGGATTATTAACCCCCTCGGGATATCGCAGGTTGGGCAGAGGGGCGCATCTGTCCGGCCAAAGCAAAACTTCAGTGAGCTCAAACTGCCGAGTGGAGCGCTGAATGTGCAGCCTGGTTCGGATCTGAGCTGGGAACCTGCAGAAACTCGGGCTGCTCCTCATTAGCTTTGCACTGGCTCTCACAGGATTAACCTTGCGGGGATCCCCAAGGCTTCTTTCAAGGCCAAAGACTGGGGGCTTTGTCCCAAATACTTCTGGGTTGTTCACAAATATTTGGATTTTTGAGCTGCTGACTAGTTGACCATATGTAGCGTTCAACAGATGATTTAAAACAAATCAACCATAAGCATTATCTTATGTGTTTACCGTTTAGTTTATTAACTTTTTAAATACCAGCCTTGAATTTTGGGAGCATGTCTGAGGTTATTTCATCCATTCTCATTTTTATTCAGTCTGATAAACACACTTACTCCAAATCCTGTATCAAAACAAATTCACTTTCCAAAAGTGGGCAAAAATAAAATGTTTCGGTGTTAAAAATGGCTTCACTGTGTTAAAAATGGCTTCACTGTATTGAGCTTACATTAAATACATCCCTGTGTGCCTCTCACATTTAGGAGGGGTAGATATTCCTGATTTTTTTTTGCGAACTGGTTGATCTATCTTCGGCTTGTATTTGTGTCTCCAACCCTTCTATGTTGGTGGCAAATGAAATTTCATCCGTGGCGCTCACAGCTTTGCAGAATCCCATTTCAATAATTCAACAGCGGTTTGCTTTTTAAGAAACAATTCCCTGGTTACCCCTTTGACAGTTTTCATCAGAACTATACAGAGGCAGAAAAAGAATCAAAACATAAATCAATCAGGATTTTGCAGCTGAACGAGATCATCTTTACCAGACAGACAGTAACACAAACCACAAAGTTACTATCCCCACATTCAAAGTTATCCTCCTTTGCAAGCACTTTGACACCCACTATGACTCATCACTCAACAGAAATGTCGCACGTTAGCCAGGCAGTTCCATTTTATACGCTCACTGCTGATTTCCCAGCATTGATATCTCTGTCAAAAAACGGTGGAAATGAAATGTCTCATGCGGTTGTTGTGATGCCTCATGCGGAGTCTAAGATCATGAGGACCTATATGGCAAATGGTCAAGTTCTCCACATTGATTTGTTGCATTATTTACCAACCTTATTCCCTTAAATAGTCCGATGGGATCCTGATGGATATGTTACGTGAAGTTTCTGTTTGTTATTAAGAGTCTGTCAGCGTGGTGATGACCAAGCAATCCTTTTTCCCATAAGGGCTTTGGTTTACTGAAATAGCAGAAAAATATCCCTCTGAGGACAGAACTATGCAGCACATGTGCGGGCCATACTTAGAAACACGCAGAATGCAGAGAACTATTTAAAGAGGGACTATTGATTTGGATGTGTCTGAGGGGAGAGTGCTCAGAGAAGTGGATCACGGGGGTCTGTATTACATGCATTTCTTGACCTTTCCTGGGATGTAGTCAGGTTTCCTCTGCGATGCCATGCATCATCTGGCTAATGCAAGTATGGGTAATGGTGTTAGCAATGCAACACGAGCTTCCAAATGAAATAAATTGTGAATGGAAGGTGTGAAAAAAGGGTGACACTGTGCATGATCTGGCCATATATATATATATACATATATGGTGTATTACAGAGGTTTAAGTCTATCCTGAGAGTCTCAGCTCTACTGCAAGTGTTCAATAATTGCCCTTTGCACATTGATACATAGATACTTACTGTAAACTCTCTTTCTCATTCTGAGGCAACATTACAGCTCTCCTGAGAGTTTGCGTCACATAGCACTGACTCAACAGTGAAAGCCGAAGCACGGGGCGCTGCATCTTTATTAGAACTGCCCGCTCCTTACGTTTCCCTGCTTTGAGCTCTAACACACAGCTGGCTGCGGACCGCAGCTTAAACCTGAGGCTGTGGAGGGTTTGCTTCACGCTGTTCTTCAGCTTCAACACAATAGCTTGACCGTGGTGGTGGACCTTTAACGGTTCGACTTCAAGTTTCAGTAAGTCTAAAGAAGCGAGGAAACAAAATAAAACCAACCCAGCATTTTATGAGGGCAGGGCTGCGTGGGCCGAGAGAGATGTGTTTATTAGCGGGGTGTGGACTCGAGGGGGGGGGGGGAGGAAAAGAAAGATTTCATTTTTACGAGCCACTGAGGTCTTTATGGTGAATTTAACCCCGGGGTCTTGTGTTGAAGTGGACGCGCTGGCCGCTGCCAGGTCAGGGTGGAGATGAACAGCTATCCGGAGCGGCACATGCACAATGACCTCTTTATCAGCCGCCAAACACTCTTCCTCTGTCTCTGCTCAGCCCTCTATCTCAACTGCCTGGTGCGCGCACATCCATCACACACACACACACACACACACACACACACACGGCAAATTATTCAAGTGAGCGCTCTGTCTTCTGTAGGGGAGAGTTAATAGGAAGAGTGGAGGGGAGGGCAGACAGAGAGGCAGAGTGTTGGGAGAGCGACAGGAGGGGTGCAGATGAACAGAAGAGCTGCTGTAAAGTGCTCTGATTAGCGGGAGTAATTATACGGCAGCGGTGGGGGCTCTGAATGCACACTGGCCACCTTCCACCGCTCCGCTCCAGGGCCACGGTGGGAAGAGGTGGGCGGGGGGGGGGGGGGAGAGAAGGTGACCAGCTCAGGCCTGATGAGAGCAGGGACATAAAGAGAAAAGAAGTCCGTCTTCATCCGCCCTCTTAATCTCCCCATAGCAGTCTCTCGAGGACGAATGCTCACACACATGCAGCCTGACGCGGCTGGGAGACTGAACAGTGCCGTTTGGATAAACTGCGGCGGGGCCAAAAGTGTCAGAGATCTTCGGAAAAAAGACGCAGAAGGTGTTTCCAATTTCACATCAAAGAGGCCTGACACATGTGGCGTTCGGGGGTTTAATGAAAAACGTAGAGGTTGGACCGCTCTGGACAGGAGGAGGGACGTGCACGCCATCGTCGACCCGCCATCAGCGGGATCGATTGTGAACGCTCATAAAAGGCGATGGAGAGTCCTGCAGTCGTGTGCGGGTGCTCGCAGAGGTCACTCAGCGAAACCTGAGCACGAGCAGAAGAAATCCCAGGTCTCATATCCGCCCCCTCAGCGCAGAATACCAGCACAGCACATATGCTGCAGCTCTCCCCTCTGCCTCCATCTCTGTTTCTTTCTCTTTCTCCCAGTCATTGTATCGGGTAATTGACGCTTGCTGACAGCGGGATACGAGCAGGGGATTTGGGGGATTTGAAAATACCCCCGTCACATCTTCACCAGAGCAGAGAGAGTCTTAAAAAAATGGCTGCATGCAACAAAAAAAGGGATGTAAAAGAAAGTGCTCTGACAGGATGAGAATCCCAGTGAGGCGACCTTTTGTTTGCTGCGGGAAACATATCTGTAAGCGCGGTCATCAAAGACCACCATGGAAGTTCCGGAAACATCATCACACCACATGTGACTCCGGCCGCTACCCGCAGGCCCGCTGGTGCTTTTCAACAGGGCTCTCCTTTCATAAGGCCGCATCTGATGCCATCTTTCTGGGCTCCACCATTAGCCCTGCCATGGTGCCATCGCACGGGGCGAAGCGGGTCAAAGTTGAGCTGCCTGGGTGGGCGCTCCATGGGCAGGAAGAGACTGTGAAGTATCTCATGACCCTCTAATTTTTCTCAATATGAGAAGGTCTTTACGGCACACATGTAGTCTGATGACATTCAGGGTAAAATCCAGTCCATAGTGAAGTAGAACCCACGATTTCTACAGTCCTGCTTGTGTTCAGAATCCCCTCTGTGGCGATATGTTGATAAAAAGCAAAGCGTCACGCCTCTGGTGGTGTTTTATCTGAATCTGCAGGGCCTTATCTGCCTACACGCCCGACCTCCTTTTTTTTTTCGGCGCCATTACAGTTTATTACAAGCGGAATGTAAACTATCAACGTGGTCGTCCGAGTGTAGACAGACTCTCGGTTTCCATAGAGGCTTTCTTTCAGTCTGGGTTTAAAGATCATTTACAGAGAAGATCGTGATGAAGATTCTCATATTAAAAAACAGAGCAGTATAAAGGTCTACAGCAATGATTGCTCCGTCTATTAGAAGCTTTTTCAGAAGCATTTATTCATTCTGAAGACTGTAGTGTTTCGAGGAAGTAGAAAATGGAATTCACCGCAACCTTTTTCTCAAGAATCTCAAGATTCCTATCCAGGAAATTAACTTGAATACCACCCAAGGAAAAGATGAGGGCAATTTCATGCTCCGGCTGATCTTAGAGAGTTTACAGCTTCCTATAGCTTTGGCCGCCTTTGCTGTGTGGTGGGCGAGAAGGTTATTGATTGTCTCACTGTTGACACTGCTGAAGTGTTTGACCTTTTAATGGTAAAACTTTCAACTTCCAGCTGTTTGGAAGTCTGACTTGGGCCAACCTTTAGCTGTGCCTGCTCCTAAAGACACATGTGGAGGTCGCCCCCGGTGGCTCTTTCAAGCGCAATTGAGATATATATGATCCCTCCAACGCCGATTTCAAATAACCCCGAGGGCAGTGGGATGTCTGTGGTCTGGAACGTGTCGTGAAGGTGCTTTCATGCCACATGCGTGGTGCGTTTCAAACAAACTCTCACGTGTTTGCTTGCTGAGTTCAGGTCTTTTGGCTCTGATGCAGCCCAAACAATAACAAGCAGCAGTTGAAAAAAAAGATGGCTTATTTTTCCTTCCTCGAACACAAACCAGTAGGTGATTTCACAAACCTGCTGCATCCTTCTGATTTAAGTTTCTTCCACATAAATCAAAGAATGAAATGCAGCTAAATGCACAAAAATTGGGCATTGGTGAGGAACATAACAGCAAAATGCAAGATATTTTGGGTTTTAGTCCAAATTGGACCACAATTCCTTCTGTGAATAATAGCGAGAAAGGTGCATGAAAGAGCATTATTTGGATTACATCTTTAGACAATTTGCTCCTAAAAGCCTGTTGTGAAGACATAATGTGCCTATTTCCTTGTGTTGGTCAGAAAAATGCAGAAAGTAACTGTTTGATAGAGGTGAAATATTATTTTTGCAACAACATGAGGGGGGGAAATGGAAAAAGAAAAACATGGCAGATCATGTGTGTGGTGTCTATTAGGAAGTTTAGAAAAGAGGAAAATGGATAAGTGGAGGACCTGATAAAAACATGTAGGCCTAAAAAAAACTATCTACTGCATATTAATAGCATCTGAAGTTGATATAAAATCCCATGGATAAAATCTCCATTGAAGCCATTTATAATGGAGGAAAAAAGGGAGAAAAGACTCATCCAAAAAAGAGCTTTGAGATTAATAAATCAGGGTGAGTCAAAAGTCACTGGATGTTGTTTTATGATTATGATTTTTTTAAATGTTTTTACCTTTTAAACAGTGTTGCAAATATTCTATTGACCTGCTTCGCAAACTTCCTGTTTGATGGGGGAAAAAGGGATCTCTACATTGATATGTGGTGTGATGAAAACTGATGCAAATGGCTGCTGACTGAGTGTTTGTGTGCAGAGAGTTGACAGAAAGAACTCACTGTGACAGACGGAGTCGTTGGTGGGCGTGCACAGGGCCGTCTGGATCTCCGTTTCCTCGTCGCAGATGGTGCAGGGCAGGCAGGGCTCCAGGGAGCTCTCGCGGTCGGAGAAGGTCTCGTCCACGCACTCCTCGCACACCGTGTCGTGGTTGTGGTCGCAGTGGGAGTACACGCCCTGGCCCACCGGGCACACCGTGCACAGCTCGCAGCGGCCCGACACCCGGCTGAAGAAGTAGTTGTAGTTGCACTCGCACCGGGCGTCGTTGGAGTCGGTGCAGGGCGTGGCCATCCGCATCAGGCCCGTGCACAGCGTGCACGGCCTGCACTGCTCCGTGTGGCTGTAGTTCTCCGAGAAGGTCTCACCTGGAGGAGTCAGAGAAAAGGAAACGTGAGACGGTGAAAAGAGTAGGGAGGAGGAGGGGGGTTGGAGGGTAGAGAAGGAAATATGAGAATATAAACAAGGAGATAAACGGTGAGTCTAATGACATTAATCATGTTTACTGCACATTCATTAGAAGGAAGGACACATTGATCCACTGGGCTCTTAGTGATTTGTGCTCCAGGACAAGAAAGGTGCTCTTGTTGAGGAGTGAGTCAAAAAGCCTGCTGTGCTCGTTATGATATCGATCCTCATGTGTTTGTGCAGCTTTGAGTAAACTGTTATAATCTCAGTCAGATACGGAGAACCAGGAAGCATCCACGTGCACGTGGTTTCGGAGCTGTCCTTAAAAGTTCTGAAGCATTCTTCAAAAAGGCCATCATCTGCTTTTCTTTTAGGATATTCCTGATGCGTTTCTTCTTATTGTGTATAAAAGCCACTTCTGGAGATGTCCACATCAAACTGACCTAGTCTCCCTAAAGAGACACTTGTACTGTCTTTTTAGAGTAATGTCTCACTTTAATACACAGACTGAATTATGCATTGCCATAAGATAATTCAGCCATAGAACTAAGCTAATTCCAAAAATGAATAGATAATTTTGCTATCCACCATAAAACTGTGCCTGTTTATGATAAGTGAACAGAACAATTAGTCTTTCCAATTAGTCAGCTGGACTCTGGAGCCGGAGGAGACCTTCATTCGTTTTATATTTTAGAGAGACTTTTTTTTTTCAGAAAAGCTAACCAACAGGTGTCAGCTATACGTTTGGATTTCATAGCTTGCGGACAGTTTCTTTTGTCGTTTTCCGAAGCAGAGAATTGCCAAAAACGATCATCCAATCCAGCAGCACATATTTACATGGGACCACAATTATATATATGACATGTCAGCTCATTCTGTAAATGCATTGAGAAATTCTATGCCGCGCCAAAGTGAAACCGTTCCACACAGTTAACAACAACATGCTGACAAAGTGTCAAAAAGTACAAGTTCTGTTTTCTAAAGGGAGAAGTGGCAACAGTGTCTGCGCAGACTAAGAAAACTAAACAGGGCTCACATGTCGTTCCTCCAGTCAGATATAAAATAGGAGTGCCTTAAAAGTCAGCCTGTGTTCAGGAGACATTCCTCCTATGACTTGATTGCATTATATTGATTGAGAAATAAAGACTGGAGCAGCCGTGTGGAGACCCGTGTTCGACAGAGGGAGGCAAAAGCCATGGTGACTAATTGTCCACTGCTTTTCAATTACTTCTTTGGCTTCAGATTCGCTCTCCAGGAAACATTTGCTGTCGGGAGGATTTGAAAGAGTTCATCACTGGAGGAAGTGGTGACCTCAAATTAGCCTTTTCTTACGCTGAAAGTTCCTCAGGGCACAGTGTACTGTATTCTATTAATATTGCATGTTCATATAGAATTATTTTCAGATATAATTGGATGCCTGCTGAATTATGCATACAGTAGGAAGGAGGGTCTTTGTCATATGAGTGTGTTTTAGTGGTTAAATGAGATGCAAGATGAGTAGAGAGGCTGATGGGTATGGGAGGGAGGGGGGGGGGGGGGGGGACTTGGAGCTCAGATTCATTACAGAAGCAGTTTCACTGCTCTCCAAATTGCATTTTATTTGTTAGTGATGCGCTTAACATGAGCGCGATCCCTTTGCCAGAGCTGCAGTTCAGATAGAAACAGCACAAAGCATGACGTTTTTAACCCCCCCCCCCATCCACCCAATCCCCCCCCCATGAGAGCAACTACTTCAGAGCAGCTGGAACTTCAGAGTGACAGTTTCACAGCTTTAGATCGGGACACAAGAACGCCCGTTAGCGGCTCTGTAAACTGCTTAATTAACACCAGAAACAGCCTCTTTCACCTCTGATGTCACAAAATGAGGCATGTATTAAATTCACACTGTTTAAAATGTCTTCATTGTTTAAAAAAAAAAAAACTGCTTTGTTTTACGGAGCCATAAATCAGGGGGATCTGGTGGAACTGCGTAAATAAAGCCACATGACTGGATGTGAGAGGCCTTTGGCCGGCTCTTATCTGCCTTCCCATGTGTTTTTAGGTTGTGTTGGTTTGTTTTCAATGGGAGCGTGGTGCTGTCGGAGGGGAAACGTTGCTTTTGCATTGTTAGCGGCTGTTACGAGAAAACCCTGGAGCCTTGAGCACAGGTAGACGGCCGACTGTGAGCTCCGTCACATTAAACAGGCAGACCGAGGGCAGCAGACGGAGCTAACGGCGTGGAGACAGGTAGGAAGGAGGCTCAAATGAATCTCAAGATGTTTGGCGTAACATAATAAGAAACGGCCTTTGAGGGTGGTCCGGTGCTCTCAGTCCAAACCTAATCTAAAATACATCATTTAGTCGTCAAGAGTGCTGAGGAAGTGCTGATGAAAGACTGGGAAAAGATGTGGAAAGGGGATACAAACGAGTTTCCAATACAGGAAAAACATCCTGTGGAGCTTTCCTCCGTATCCATTATCAGAATGTGCTCCTATTTCTATCTGCAGGCACAGGCGGAACAGGGTGACACCGACTGAGCGGCCCAGACCCAGACACGCAGCAGACCTCCGAGGTAAACGATTATTTGAATTAGTGAGCTTGAAAGCCGCTGTTTTCTTTGCTGTCGGGCAAAAATCCCCGTAAAGCTCCCTCCCTCATTTATTTCAATTATCCCGAAGTGGGCAGGCTTCCTGGCTAATTCCAGCCTGCGTGCTCGAGCCCCCTTTTACAGATCCTGCGTGTAAACATTTGAAAAACGTGAGCGTGTGCAGAGGAGAGGTGTGTGTGTCTAATGTGTGTGTGTGTCAGCACTGTCATCTCTTTTTAATAAAATATGACCCTCTTTCTAATTGTCCCCAGTTGAGCTTTGACAGGAGCAACTCAGCGTTTAGAGTTCTCGTGTAGAGCCGTGAAGACGGGTGGGGGCAAAGGGAGAGGTGGCCATGAGTGGGGGGAGGGGGGGGGGGGGGGGGTTGCACTTTGAATGTGCCACTTCAGCCCCCACTTCCAACCCTGGTGTCTTCGGGTCCCATTAGTGTCATCAATAATGTAGCTGTGGATGGCCTTGGAGCTGCTCAATGAGCTTGGCGATCAGCACTTTTGCTGTGGGCTTTTAGCCACGCCGGACGTTTACCAGGATCCACGTTTCAAACACCGTTTTCCCTCTCCCCCCCCCCAGACAACCGACCCTTTGCCGACTGCGCAGAAATGATCGACTTTTGAGAAGCCATTTGACCTCTTTTTTTGTCTTTTTTTAACTCAAAACATTTTGTGCGCACCATTTAGTCGGTCAGGTTTTATAAAGACATTTCCAGAATTATCATAAGGAGACTACAAGAGTCAAGCTTTTAATTCGTAATGAACATTTGATCTCAGATGGAGCTCCAAAAACCTCCTCTGTCCCAGCCAGTGGAAACCCCCATTTTCCATGTGTCCATCCCGCCTGATCTAAAGCTGGGAATGATTCCTAAAGCTCTTCTTCAAACCTTTACCAGACGTGTCTGTGATTCTACTTTCCTCCCTCCCTAAACCCTCCTGTGAGCTACAGTTCTTTCAGCCAGCACGACTTCTCTTAAATTCTGCACTGTCTCCCGGAGCCTTTTTTTTTTTTTTTTTTTCATCTCCGAACTTCAGCCAGTTTTTAGGTCAGGCTTCTCTGAAGGGCTCACTAAGTGAGGCAGGTCCAGTTGTCTGGTGTCCCCGGAGGAAAGTGGAGGAAACAGATGAATATTTCAGGGTTGCTGATGCTGGCACTTATCCCGGGGAAGGGTCGTAAGACCAAGGGCTGGTGGGCAGAGGGTTAACCGGCAGGAAGCGGGAAATTAAGCAAGTCAAGGTAAAATTCAGATTTGCACATATTTACCGTGAAACGGGAAATGGATTTTTTTTCTATTTGACTTTTCAATTATTCATATCAGCACTTAAGAACATGGTATTTATAGCATTACGTTTATTTCTCTTGAGGTCAGAGTCTTAGCCTCGAACCGCAATATAAGCCAAACTCAGCCTTTGGGCCTCAGGTACATTTAGATTTGGGCTACAGTTACAAAACCAATATGGAAATATATGAAAATACATTCAAATTTGAAATTGATTGCAAAACTCTAGGGTATTTCAGCTTAATTGTGGAGTGTTTATCAGCGGTGAGTACTGTTCCTGTACCGCAGAGCAAGATAATTGTTCACTGTTGGAGGCACAATAGGCTTTTCAATATGGTTTAATTAGCTGGATCAAATGGGTAAAGATGCATTGATGTAACAGTATGCAAGATAAATGAGCAGATCGTGCCCTTTGGTGCCTGGCGCTCTAATACCATCTTATCCTCTAATACAGACGATGACTCACAGCCACACTGAGGAGGGGAGGGGGGGTGCTGGCAGAGAAAAGTGAATTCAGGAGAAGAAGGGAGACACGACAGGAGTCGGCGGGATTTGCTGGCGTAGAGGAGTGAGTGACGATAAACGAGCAAACGAGGGCCAACCCACAATTTCATCTACGCATCATGTTTCCCTGCTCAGCACAGGAATAGGACGTGCAGGAATAAGTCCTCAAGACATCAAAGCAAGTATTGTGAAACTCTGCTGAAGGGGTTTCCAACATAATCAGACCTCGCGTATTGTTTTAGAATGGATCTCAATAATCCTGCTCTCTCTATGTGTGTTTTTAACAATGCTGATTCAAAAGCCTGAACAAGCTAGTTTAATTATCTTTCTTCTTATGGGGATGAGCTCTTCCCCGTAAACCACTGACTCTGATAGCGTTCAATCTTTTTTAGTGTCTCTAATTTCTTTGTTTTATGATGTGCCAGAGCCACAGTTAAGCTTTGGTGACATACTTCAGCTGAAAAATAAGACCTTCACAACACAACGCTGCATCCGTCATGCGAACAAAATCGTGACTGATGATCTTTACACAAAAAGGGATTTCGAAAAGGCTGCGAGCATTCCTCCACAATTGAATCATCTCCTTCTTAATGACATCCAGTTGACATTCCTAAAAAACAGTCCCGCACAGCTAAAAAGATTCGATCTTCACAGAATTGATCGGTGCCACCAATTAATTCAGAGCTCTCCTCGAGTTTAGCTGCAACGTCCCCGGCCGACACGTTGAGTTGACTTAGCATGCTGAAGAAGTTAGATCTGAAAGGACAAAGATAGCTGCTAGGAAGCGGTGCAGAGAGACTTATGAGCACTGACTCCTCTCCGTATTCTTGGATGTTGGCACCTCTCCCGGCTCTGGTCTGTATAGTGAGTGCTAATGGTTCACAGCCTGAGTCGTGCCTCAGACAAACACATTTGGACTCACTTACAAGCATCGAACATAGGAATTCTTGACATATTTCTGGGCACATTTGTGAAAAATTAAACCTACACTTGATCTAAATGAATCAATTGGACATAAGTTGTTTCTAGTCTGGCTTTGACAGGTTTCCTGTTCAGAGTGCAGAGGCTCAGCTAATCTGGTGAAGCTTATTCATTTACTGATAAATGATAATGTAATAGAAAGAACTCATCTATTGTTGAGAATGCAATGGATGCAAGTTCCTGTTTTTTAGGCTGTGTACAGATTTACATTTCTATTTTACTTTGATTGTCACTAAAGTCAGTGAATTCAACATAACACATTTCTTTAAAATGAGAATTTGTTCATTGAAAAACCCAAAAAGTCTTGATTTTAGAGGGTTTATACCTCATGACTGAACTTGAAATGACCATGGTTAGATTTAGCGAAACATTGTGATTGTTGTGAATAAAACCTTTTTAGTACGAAATGTCAAAGAGCAGAAAAAAAAACAATTAACTGCAAAGACATCCTTCAGTACTGATGTTATTGACCATATTTCGATTTCCAAAAAAGAAACAAGGATCCAACAATAACATCTGTAATAAACTAAAACAAGCATTAACAAAATGATTGCTCTCTTTTCAAATGAATAAATTAAATAAATATGGTTGAAAATCCATCTTAAACAAAAATATTTCCTTAACTTTTCAACGTAAGGAAACAAATGCTGCATTTAAAGCATCCTCTGTTTTCACAGGTACAACAAAGTACTCAGACAGCTTTGCAGAGGGACTCACATCCTGCTCAGCCTTTAAGTGTTCTTCAGTGTTTACGTGTGCTCTGAGGTCTCAGGCACCTTTATTAGACTCAGAACAATATGTGCCAGCCTTGCCGGGGGCGCCCTCAGGCTCCCACTTGTCCCGACCGGGGGGACAGCTCATCTCTGAAGATGTTCTTTTAGCGTCTTCATTTTGTGTGTTTGAAACACCAGTCAAGTTAAGTAGACGCTTAATGGTCCCGCGAAAAACAGTGAAAGCCGGACAGAAGGGATATCCGCTCACCCTGTGTTATTCACGTGAAACATCAGGTGAATGTTCAGAAGGTTCTGCTTTGTGTTTTAGGCCTCATAAATCACAACACACCGAATCAGGAGATTTCACAAAACTTTGAGGATGGATTGCTGTTGGCACTGGTTTCCCTCACTTGTCCAGAACACTATCTGGAAAAAAGGCAATGATCTCCATATGTCACGTCATTATACTGGCTATCAAAAATGTTTTCTAAATTTGCTCCATCATGTCTACATCTGAGGTGGTGGCTGTCTCTTTAAAAGGTATGAAGAGCATCTCATATTAATCTATCTATCTTTATATCTATCTTTATAATTATGGGTTTAGGAGAATACTACAGAATGAGGTACAAAGCAACTTACAAATAAACATGTTCTATATACACATATGATATCAGGGGTCTGTCGGGGTGGAGAGCAGGTCTTTGGGGATAGTTTGAGCAAAATTTGGACATTTTGTTGGTATTGGAAGGTTCTGCTGTCTCCTCCAGTGTCTTTTCTTTGCCCTTTTTGGGCGATGTAATGGCCATATAATGGAGTTTTCCAGAGGAAGCAGCCTCCCTCATTAGTTTTGAAAACATAAAGCACTAATTAATGAATCCACAGCATTACAAGAGATACATTAGGACTTTTAAATTTTGCATAGATGTTTCTTTTTTTTAGCTGACGGCAGCGGGTGAACAGTTTGCTTCACCCGCATGACTTAGTTTGACTTGGGTGGACATGCAAACAACGAAGGCTCATTACTCACTGTCCACACACGGAGTGCACACAGTCTGAGTGGTGCCGCATTTCTTCTTCACTCCTTCCCCAGGTGGGCACTCCTTGCAGCATTCCCCGCTGGAGGTGTACTGGCCGGAGTCACAGTGGACCAGCACGGCCCGCTCCGTCTTGGACGCCGACGTTAATGTCACCTGGCACAAAAGGAGGGACGCTCAGTGAATCGCGGAAGCCCCCGGCAGACGTTAAATCCCCCAGCACGGGAATTCTGAGGCTGAAACTGACTGAAACGTGGGAAAAAAAACAACAACTTGGTGGAAAAATGACTGCCAGGTGTCCCGCCTGCTCCTGAAATCTAACCACCATCAGGATTCATCATAAATCACAACGCCTCCGCCGGGATTAGACACACTTTGAAAAAAAGCTGCCGTCTAAACTGCTTTAATGGCTCCCCTAAAGGCACATCAGCTCCGATATTACAGTCACGATATGCTCCGGCCCAGGCAGAAACCATAAAATCGTGCGTGCACGACGTTATACACATGCCCATCCTAATTACTGTCCAAAGGTGAGAGTCACTCTGAATATCAGCCGCTAGTGTGCACACACACACATGCAAATTTGGGAAGACTTTCATCCCAATCATCTTTAGATCTGTCTTTAAATGCATGATAATCTTCCTAACTGAGGATACAGATGTGAGAACTGCAAAATGTCAAAGACACAAAATAATTCACCCAAAAAGAGAGGCATGTGTCTCTGTTTCGGGCTAGAGGATACTGCATTTATTCAAATGAACCATAACAAGAGACTGAATTCCATTCAGAAATCCATTCATAGAAAAATACTTCCTGTTAGTGAATCCACAACTGAGGTCTTGAAGGTATTTTTAGCTCATAACAGTCAGCTGTTTTCTGTAAAAGGCATGTCCTAATTTACATGTAGTGGCGTCACATTGAGGCATGTTGCAGCTGTGGGATAAATCCGCGCGCCTTAACCATTTAGATGTATGAGTGTATCGTCTTTTTCATCTTCTGTCAGTTATCGTCTCCCCTCTGCCTCCCTGTCTTGTTGTATTTTCAGTCCTCTGATGTAAATGGCATGCAGCTTACTGGCAGAAGAACTGAGAGCACCTCCACTGGTGTGTACACAGCAAAGTTAACAGAAAATAACTCATATCCAGACGTTTCGGAACAAAGGGAATCATTATTCTTGATCACGCTCACGTCCTGTGGTTTTTGTTATGCAACATGTAAGACCTCATTTTCACTTAATTCACATTTTGCTGAAACATCGTATCAGACCTCTCAAGTCTTTTCCTCTCTGATTTGTCCATCCTCAGCCCTCCCCTCCCTGCAGCCTCTGCTTCCATTCAGAAACAGATGTACAGAGAAGCCAGAAGCTCTCTTTCTATCCCTGCTTTTCTTACTCAATGTTTCCCCCTTTCTGCCGTCCCAGTTTTTGCTTGGAGGTGCATTTTTCCTTTACCGGTACTTCTCGTGGCTCCACAACCTGTTATCTCCATATTTCTGCCTTATAAAGATACATTTATGTTCGGATGCGGCCCAGAACCTGAAAAAACATCCATCTCTCTAACTGCCAACTCCTTTTTTCCTGTGACATCTCCATGGAATTTCACTTTGGTTAAAACAGGCTGACGGCATGATTCCCTGGGACTTTTTTCTCAGCTCCAGCAGGAACCTGCATCAGGCTCCAGCTGCCGTGTGGCTTGGTTTTGCACTCTCTCTAATTTCACGGTCAATTTGACAGTTTATTTCTAAATTTAATTCGACCAAAGAGCGCCGACTGTCGCCACCCTTTACACCAGCTGTCATAACAGAGCGTCCCCTCGCATCCAGGGCTGTTCACATGATGACTGACCGGTGCGGCCCAATTAGACCAGCTGCTGTGGACACCACGGCCCTACGAGGATGTGCCCTCTGCACCCATAATCAACTTCCTCATGTTATCATAAGAGCCTCCTGCTTTATGCAAAAAGACAGACAAATGATCCCAGCTCTGAATGCAGATTTAATTGAGCTATTTCCTTTCCCCAAACGCCGCCTCGTATTAATCTATTCTTAAAAAACCCCAAAACCTCTGTAGAAAATTAGGAATAAATTACTTTCTGCTCATTAATGAGATTAAAGTTTGGATGAGAGTGCCTGCCGGCAAAGAGCTCCTGGATGTTTGGAAGCAGCCCAGTGTGAGACAGTAATCCCACATCCCCTGTTAAGTTTTTCTCACTCGCTTCAAAAACCAACAGAGAGAAATAAATGTGTCTGCTTGGAGTATTCCATCACCTGGCCACAGAAGCCCAACTGCAAGACACCTGCTTTGTTTACCATTGAGGGAAAAAAAACGCAGCATTGGCCCTTTATCAAGACGACATCACAGAAGAAGAGGAACTTAAATCTGTCACAGAACTTTTTCCAAAAGGGAATTATAATAACAAACACTGATGGAAAGTGCCCGCAGATCTGTTTTAGGGTTTATTACTGCAACTCAGCGCATCTTCTAGAGCCACGACAGAAACGGCACAGTGGAGGAAAATCGTTGCAAACAGACACACTAAAAAGCACACAAAATGCTGCACATGAGGCTGCAGAATACTCACCAACGCGCACAAAATCACCAGCGATGCTGTAGTAGTCATCCTGCTTCTTGTGCCGGAAAAAAACAGATCTGGAGCTGAGAGGGGGCAGCGCTATGAGGAGGAGGAGAGCCGCTCAGCAGGAGAGCTCATTTTAATTCCAGAGGAAACGGATTTTTTTAATTTATTTCTTATTTTTTTATCAATGACTCCGCACCATCGTGCACCTCTGGACACGACTCGGACGCAAACTGATGGCGCAGCGCTGTTATATTCCACACAACGCACACGCACGCACACACACACACACACACGCACAAACAGTCACGCACAGAGACTCGTCCTGTCCGGAGCACTGCTCGGCTGCAAGTGCACTGCGGAGGAGCAGAGAGACAAGAGGAGAGGGCGCACGTCCACCCCGCGGTTTATTACCCCCAGATAGTCCTCATGCGGTCCAACCTGATCCTCTCCTCACGCGCCGTCCAATCTCATTAAAGGTGCGGGTTTATTGCAACACTAATATTAATATGATTTACCGTGACGGTTTAACCCCCAATACCTCATCTCACACACCTTTTTAATCAGCCCGTCAGCTTCTTTTATTACAGGAAGTGTTTCTATTGCGCCAGAGAGGGGTTTTTTTTCAGCAGGATTGTAAAAGTATAGTCTAATTAGTCTGGTAAAAAACTAATTTCCTTTATTTCAAATGATCGAGAGCTGATAGCTCAGAAATAAAAAACACCAAACAGAAAAATATGAGAGCTGACAGTTACTTTAATGAGAGGATGAGATATTGAATTACTTGAAAGTGTCAAATAACTGGAAAGATGTCCATAAACACTCAAAATGGGACCAAAAGATTATTTTTCAACGACATGCAGAATGTGAGCGATACAGCCTAAACAAAATGCAACACACTGTGATCAAAGCTAAATACAAGCAACCACAAACAGATGCAAAATGGAAATTAGCAGTTTGAGACACAAAACAATGAAGAGCAGATGCTAAAGGACCACAAAGAAAGTAGAAAAATGGCCTAAAAAGTCATGAAGTTGACACTGAGCAACATGAATAACAAAATAAAGAGAGCAGAATGCTTGAGGTGGCTTCTTTCTGTGCATAATTGCATTATGTTGGAGTGTTTTTCTAATGCTACAATGCCAGAAACAAATGTCTACTTATTAGTACTTAAACAGCCACACGCACAGTGGCACTGCCTCCAACCAAATCTCCAGAAATGGGTCAAAATCTAATCTCAGCTAAATTAGCGCACATTATGATTTTTTAAAAGTAGTTCTAGTCTAACTATATGAATCTGTTCCCACACTCCATTCCCTGACTATAAACTTTGAGGATCATGATCACGGTGAGCCACAAGAGGGCGACTTAGCTGATCTGGGCTCAGCAGCAGCTCCCACCTGGTGATCCTCTCAGTCCTGACAATGCTTATGATGTTCTGCCTCAATTCACAAGAAACGTATAAAAAAAAGAGAGAGAGAGAAGGAGGGAGAGACTTAACACGCACAACTGCTTTTGTGTTTAAAGTGCACCTCCTAAAAGCAATAGGCCCGGACAGTAATGGAGAGATAGTCCTGAAAGAGATTCTTTTGGAAGAAGAGAACACTTTGCCTTTTGGTTCTTGACACGGACATTTCACACATATCGTGCACAAGTGAGCCACATCAATCCATTAAGTACCGTTTCTCCCCCCCCTTTCATTTTGTCAAGATGATAATAAACTTGGTAAGACCACTCCCAAACCACTAATGCACGTCTGAGCGCTGTATTTATATTTGATGCCCGTGGAGGTACTTAGCTTTTTTACACTTAAGGAGGAGCAGTGTTGATGCCTATTGATCCAAGATATTGTGGCAGTGAATCAAACGCAGTCACCAAAAGAAATGGGTTCCTTAACCTGCTTCTGTTCGGTCTCAGTCTCCTGATGATGCATCTTCCACTTTGTCCTCACTCATCATCAGTGCAGGGAACACACAGAAACTGCCCCCCCCCCCAGCCTCTCCGGCCACAGGCTGATTTAGTTACACTGTTGAGATCTGAATGCTCTTTAGTATTGATCTTGGGACACATCAATTTCCCCCACTTCCTACATCCCCCTTTGAGATGACCCCAGACCAACCCTGGTTCTGATGACTTTGGCAGCTCTCCTCTTCATTAAGCCTTTGTTGGTTTTGCGTTCGCTTGTCGGGCGAGTTGGAGCCATCGTTTATTCTCTGTAATCACAGCAGCGTGAGTAAAGCCACTGCGTCACCGGCACAGGGTAAGTGCTCTCCATCGTCAAACTCAGTCACGACTGATTCCAACAATAGTGTGGCAGGGGACGTTAGGCACTCAAAGAATAGACGTTCACCCCCCTCAGCCTGGAAATAGAGAGATGCCCTTTAGATGTGAGCTCCATTAGCAGTGATATGTTCATGGAGATCTGTGCAGACAAAGCATTCGATGTGTTTCCTGAGGATCTATTCTAAAACCCTTATAAAAATGTCCAAAACACACACATTTTCAGAGGTGGAGCATGAAGGACCCCAAGTGCAGACAGTGCTGGAGGGAGACAGAGGGAAATTAGATTTTATTTAATGTAATGGTGGCAATGAAAGCAAGGCGGAGCCAGGAAGAGCCTAAAACTAAACTGAGAAACAAAAACCAAAGACAGAAATAAACAAGGGACGAATAGGAGGCAGTTGTTGTCTAGTATTAATCTTGTTTAATAAATGGCGAATGCTGTATATTCTCTATTTGTACAGAAGTTGAAGTATTTTGAATTTTTTGTGCTAAACAACATATTAACATTCCTGACGTGACGATGACGTCAGTAAATTCAGATACCGGCGGGAGCCTCAGACGTCACGTCACATTCTCTCGAACCAAATGATCTAAAACTCCAACATGAGGCGGGATGACTGGTTTCGGGGGAATTCCTCCACAGTGGGGGTCTCGGTTCTCCGTGAGCGTAACCTGTGCCCTCTCCCTCCCAGCTTCTGCTTTTCCCAGGTATGTCAGGTTCACGTCGTCTGAGGGGTCAGATGTTTTACAACCTGCCGCTTTCATGCTGCTGCCTCCCCACATGGCCACAGCGGGGGGGGGATCTGTGGGCGAATCTGGACGAAGCCTCGACCACCGGCCGCGTGAGGACCGAAACAGGAGGAGAACTGAGGTTTTTTTCATCCCAAAGAATGTAACGGGGCACCTGCTCCTGGACACCATGCTCTATATGCTTCTGTCTGGTTTGCAGCGTTATGACAGAGCCGTGTGTGTGTGTGTGTGTGTGTGTGTTGGGTCACTGTAAGTACAGTGAACCGGCTCAGGAGCAACTCGACACCGCTCAGATGTTTTACTGCAGCTCTGCAGCATCCTGTGGCTGCCTGGGCCGGCCCCACAGGACAGATAGGCTTTCTGATCAGATACATCCATCCAGCACTGCTATATCAGGGTCATAGAAATCACTCTGAGGAGACTGCAGCATGTCGGAACTGCTAAAGAAATTATCCTTCTGTTGAATTTTACGACATTTTTTTGTCACGTTTTATATGTGACTGTCCATCCTGAAGAACACGTTTTTCTAAGTGAGTTTATTTTACAAAGCATCACCCTTTTTTCACAGGATACATTCTGACTAAAGGTTTTTCTCTCACCACATTTTTTAAAGTTTTGCAACACACAGTTTGGTTGGAAATGGCGTGATTTGGGACTGATTCTGTAGCTCCTCGAAGCTTCAGTCTGACGCAGACTTCATGCTGAAGTTTGGCCGACTCAGCGGGAGCCTCTCTCCCTGCTCTCGTTTTTCATTAGTTATGAAGCAATTTCTCCGCTCAGCCAAGCGCAGCGCGGGCTGATCTATGTCACCGGCCACCTTTTTGAATGACGCCATCTCTGTGTGACAGCCATCTTTCCAGCCTCTGAGTTTTAATGCTTTAAAAAACACTTGACTTCCCATTGTGGACATCTTCAAAAAACAGACGCTTTTATGATGCTCATCTTAAAGAAAGCATCCATTCTTATTTTTTTTCAAAGCTCAATCTTAATGAAACACAATTCCTCTTTTGATCTGATTGTTGGTTACTGAATAATTGAGTATGTAGAAAATGGTAAATGTCAATACAATGTTTGAGTAGGAAGTCACACTTAAGGGGGTCTGCATATAGTTTAATACAGATGTCGTTTCCTTTTTCGCTATTAACATAATCATTCTTTTCAACTTGCATCATTTGTAGGCCAGTAATTTCTCTCGTTTTTCTTTTTTTTGGAAGACAAAGACATGACGACTGACGGGTTGATTAAGTTCAGGCTTGAAGTGTTTGCCACTAATTTCACACTGAAGCTTGTTTCCTATCACGCAGCAGATGTTGTGTGACAGCCCAATCTTTGCTTCCGCTAGATAAGCAGATAATACGACTCATTTTCTTCTTTCTATTGGACAGGCCTTCACAGACTGAGGTGGAATTTCAGATTACACCGGCTTCTCTTGTCACTGTTGCTTCACTGAGTCCAAAGGCTTCAAAGCTCCAAAATAAGAGTTCCCCGTGTGTGTGTGTGTCTGTACTTGAACAACAGAAGGAGAGTTTTATGGATTCTGGTCATATCCCCCTTCGTTCACTGTAGAGGATCACTCTCTCCAGACTGGACTGCAGGGACTCCCATCAACTGCTAAATAGCTGCACTGAAGACCAGCCAGCAGACCTCACATATGGGAAATAAAACATGCACGAGCACAAGTGTTTTCTGGGCTAAAAACTCTATGAAGCTGCATGTTTTAATCAAAAACGGTCTTTGTTTGAAATCTAAAGCCTCCATCGAGTAATGCTGGTGTTTGTTAGCATTTTTGTTTTCTTTTTATGAGGAACACTGAATAAGTGACCATCAGGATTGCATCTGTTTCAGCATCCATGAATAAAAATTTGACTTATACAGATACTTTTTCATCGTATCTGTAATCAAATAGCAATTCCTGCTCTGTTATGTATGTAAATCAGGAGGAAACCTTCGTTAGCAAGCATTTAGTCACTGGTTTCCTTCTAATGTCGCTCGGAAACTTTGCTCAGATTTGTTATTTATTGTCTTTGCTCTTCTATTTTAATCTTCCTCCCATTTCCTGGTGTCTGCGTCTAACTCTGCATCCCCTGAGAACCATTGCCAGTCAAGCCCGTCTCTGTGGAATGTACAGTAGACTGAAGGTATACGGCTTTGAACATCTGAGCACGACAGATGAGAGGGAGCCTGCGTGATGAAAAGTCTCGAATTTGGACTCCTCTTAGACTTTGGCCACAGCCTGTGTGTGTTTCCTATACAGTC